AAAAAAAAAAAAAAATTAAAATTAAACTTCATTGATAAATTTTTCCTTCTGACTGTCAAATACTGGAGTTTTTATTTGCTCTAGGTATAAGTACTGGATGATTAGAAACCAAAGGTCTTCATTAAACATATTTAAAAATTCCTACCTGCTAGTAATTTATTTTCTGAAAGACAATAAATTTCAAAAAAATTATTTTCTATAAGTTATTTTCCAAATTAAAACAGAAAATAGAAATTATCATGAAAATACAAATGAAAGCAGGAATTTGAAATAGGAAGGACAATAAATTTATTTTCTGGAATACAACTCTGCATCCTGTTTTTACTCTTGTGTTTGGGGGAAGAAAAGACTCAGGTTTGGGCTAGGCATCTAAAGTAGACTTTATTTTATACTGATATCTTCGAAGAAATTTAAAGCAATAAAAGAACCTTCCCAAAAGTAAGTTTAATGCAGAAATTATTGTATATGCCTGCCTTTCTCTCTGTGCCTGTGCCCTGCACCATATACAGCTTTTGTTCTTTCTCTAAAAAGGTACAGGAGCCCCTCCCAGTCCTGGGGTGGCTAGGAGAGAGATGGAAGGTAACCAGACTTGTGCATTCTAGAAACAGTTCCCTCATTTTATTTCTCAGTGTCAGCCCTCCCCCATGTTTAAAGACATACTGTAGTAAGTCTCTTCTTAATCCAGCTATAAACTTCTCCCCTCCTTATGTATATCTTGTATTTTTTCTCTTTTTATTCTATGTTGTGTATAGTTTTTAATGAACCCATTTAATTTCCCTGAGATTCTTATATGTTGTTTGTATTGTTTCATATGTCTTTTATACATGCTTAGGTTGTGAAATAACCATTGAAGAGGAATGCCTTAAATTCTTTACAGAATAAGTCAGATTTTAGAAATGTACTAATCCAAAGCTTCAAAAATTAGTAATTATAACTAATCCCTATTAATTCAGATTCAAGAATGCATACTTTTGTAGATGATTTCAAACAGGGGTGTCCACCCTGTGGTTGCAGGCCGCATATAGATTATTTGAGGCTTACTTTACTCATCTGTGGTGTGGGATATTGTGAAGAATATGTGCAGACCTTACCTTTTGCTCTCAGCTTTCATTAGTGTTTGTGTAATGTGTGGCCAAAGACAACTCATATTCTTCCCGTGTGCCACAGAAAAGAAAAAAGGTTGGACTTCCCTGAACATAGCTTTTTCTATGTATATGGGTACTGTTTAAAGGAACATTAAGATGAGAGGCCATTCATTAAGGTTATAGTTATTAAAGGGCCAATGTATTCCATGAAACAATTACACTGAAATTTCTTTCCAAAAAGGAAAGTCAAAGATACTCCCTTGATAGTACTTCCTACTTCTTTTGGCCCCAAAACTGATTTATTTCAATTTCTCAAAAAAAAGTCTTCCATAAGGCATGTATTTGGTAATTAGATTTTTGTAGGGTATTTTTTTTTAATCAGAGTCCAAAGGCTGTTATCTTCAATAACTTTATCCACAATGATAGCCACAGTATGAAGCCCTAAAGCAGAGCTGTTAGGAGCCTCTTATGTAACTTCGTAAATGCAGTCCTGTCTGTCACTCAGGAGCTATTTGTTTGCCAAGCTCTGTGACCATTTGTATGGCTGAGAGCATGTTTTCAAGGTTCCTGAGAGAGATCGGGCTCTGTGGGGAATAATACCTTAAAACTGGCCCCATACATGAGGTATCAGACTAAGGGGCTACACTTGTCTCCTATAGAGGGCTCTCTAAGTATTTTGATTTTCACTCTTCTGGAGTATTTCATTCAGTACTGATTACACCCTTCATCATGATCCAAAGCAAAGCACTGTGTTTTGTTATCATCTTATACCACTATTTCTGCTGGTAATGAAGCAGAACTGCCAGTTGATGTTATACAATACTGCTTTAGTGTTTACTTATGACTAATTTTTTTTTTCCTTCCTGCTTTAAGCACCCAAAAGCCCTGGAACAACACGGAAAGATAATATAGGTAAAAGACTTAAATGTAGCCTACTTTACCCTTAAAAGTGGACCATGAAACACTTGGAATATAAGTACATGGTTTCTTGATTCTTTTTACTTTTTTTTTTAAACTTAAACATATGATGTGATGTCTTTGTTCTAGGACGCAATCAGCCTTCACCTCAAGCAGTACTTGCAGGCCCGGGACCTGCTGGATATAGTGCAGCCAGACCAGTAAGTAAGATCCAGCCTGAGAGCCAAGGGGTCTTGGTTCTAGGTTCTAACTTGCTATTGGTCAGTTTTGTGACCCTTGAAGGTCTCAATTTCCTAAACTTTGAAATGACAGAATTGTACTTGGGTCTCTAAGGTACCTTTCAACTCTGATATTGTTTTAACATACTCTTTGAAAGTAACACACTTCATCGTTTGGATAAAAATGATACACTTAATTATGGTCATGAAATAAATGTCTTAGAGTCTCTCAGTATATGAAGAATGATGTATTTGAGCACCTTTTATCATACTACGCTTCAGCCCAAAAGTTGGAGGTTGCTGTGAGCTATGATATTACAGCACTGTACCCAGGGCAACAGCTTGAGATTCTGTCTTAAAAAAAAAGTCATCAGTCTTTTCCATGAAGGCAACATGGCAGCAAGTTAGACATGAGTTTGGATTCTACCTTTCTTTTCTAACTATATGGCCTTAGACAAGTTTGATCTATTTCTTCATCTTAATTTAGGGATAATAAAATAATACCTACTTCTGAGGGATTAATGAAATGAATGAATGAATGAATGAATTTCAAGGTGATGAAATGAAAATGCCCGCACAATGCTTAAGTAACATAGTGCCTGGCACACAGTGAACAGTCAAAAATAAAAAATAAAAAAAGGTTTTAAAATTTACCACTACATGGCTATAAGTAAAGAATGGTTACAATGACAAGATGGGGTTTAATACTAGAGAAGAGTAAATGAAATGCAAAGCAAGTATTTTCATAGGATCTTACTTGTTGAAAATAAACAAATGTCTCAAGTGTTACATTTCCTGTCTGTAGACAATTCCACCCCGTGCTGGAGTTATCAGTGCCCCCCAGAGCCATGCTCGGGCAGCTGCTGGAAGACTGACTCCTGAAAGCCAAAGCAAGCCGGCAGAAGCAGCCAAAAGTAGGCACCGTATTAGAAATACTGCGCCAGTTTTATTCTCCATTTTTTTCCTTCATTTTTTTCTTTTCCCTTTTCCTTCTGTCATCTCCTGATTTCCACAACATACCCAAATGGGGCCATCCTTCTGTCCTTTATTCCACAAGAAACTTGTTTATTTTAGGGGGAAAAACAACTAAAATGTTTTCCTAACATTTCACTAAAAAAAAGAAAACACCTTTTTCTAGAATACACCTAACATCTGACAATCATTGGTTTTTTAGGCTCAGCTTTCCTTCCCGAACCACTGAAGCCTCAGGCTGCTTTTCCTCCTCAGTCTTCTCTGCCCCCACCTGCTCAAAGGTTGCAGGAGCCACTTGTCCCTGTGACAGCACCTATGCCTCAATCTGCCCCCCAGCCAAATTTGGAAACCCCGCCACAACCACCTCCTCGGAGCAGGTCATCCCATAGCTTGCCTTCAGAAGCTTCTCCATCACAGCTGCAAGTAAGTCTCACTATTACACAAAATACTATATTTGATGCACATGACATAGTCTTTCAATATACTGTGTTAATTATTGTTATAAGAAATATATGAGAGCTTCAATTTTATTTTTTCTTTTGATAGCATCTTGAGATAGGACTTCAGCAAGTGAGTGTCATTTGACATCTCAAACTAGTCATGTAACAAATGCATGCTTTAGTTCTTTGAGGGTTTGGGCTCCCCACTCTCCACTCCCAAAAAACCGGTTGCTTAGATTAAAAATTCTCAGAGAGTGATCCTAGACCAGGATTCTTCAGGTCATTTTCAAGTGGTTCCCAGGCCATTTTCTCATGTTAACATTAAAAGTTTGTGACTTTTTAAAAAATATATAATCTGTAGACAGTTAATAAATTAGGGTAAACAATAATAGTTTATTTTCCTTATTGCTCGCAGTAATAAGTTAGTTTTGGCTTTCACTTCCTAGAGAGAGGCAGATCAGATCATACCCTAGACCACTGCAGTTGTGATTAATTTCCAATAAACAGAGTAATCCTAGTTCCTCTTGATGGAGGCAGTGGTTCTTTTCTGCATTGGAGCTGGCACTAGGGTTCCTTATGTATTTTCAAACAGTTGTCATTACTGGGTCAGTTTAAATCAGTGGTTCTCAACCTGTGAGTTGCGACCCCTTTGTAACAATGAGAATATATTTTGCATATCAAATATTTGCATTACGATTCATAATAGTAACAAAATTACAGTTATGAAGTAGCAACAAAAATAATTTTATGGTCAGGGGTCACCACAACATGAGGAACTGTATTAAAGGGTTACAGCATTAGGAGACATTCGGAAGGTTGAGAACCACTGGTTTAAATGGTTTGGATGTGTAATAAATAGTAGGCTCATTCACCAAAGTAAAAATCATCAAAATAAAAAGTCACTTCGTTAATGTCTCACAGAAAACAGTGCCTTTGCCTTGGTGTGTTGAAAACATATAGTCACATAGGCTCTTGTTATCTTAAGTTGGAAAGACTTCTGATATATACAGAGTTATTTTAATACAAGAAGAATCATGTAAGTTAAATTGTTACATTTTTATTTGGATACTGTTTTACTTAGTTTTTTTATGTACATTTCAGTAAAATTATATATTTAGTAACAGTTTTTGTTGTGTACTGATATGCATGAATAAAACCCTAACTTGAAAATGCCATCAAGGCCAAAAACATGTTTGAAGTTTTAAAAGTCTCTTTTAAACTTGGTAAAAATATAAAATATGGAAATACTGTATATTGGCAATGTCCCTTAAGCATACTTATTAAGAAACAGTTTGCATTTACTTTTACAGATATATGGGTATGTCTAACTGGTTGGCAGAAGTTAAGAGTAACTTTGTTTCTATGTGGTGAAAACAGATATTAAAGTAAATATTACTCTAATACAATCTGAATATTGTTAGCAGTTAGCAAATATTAGATTACCAGTCAAATTTGTAAAAGTTGAAGGATATATAATAGAGAAATTGTTCAGCTTACAGTTGATTAATGCCAAAAAATTCTGTATTTTTTCAGTTTAGAAAATTGTGGATGCTGAAGATAATTAATAGTGGTAGAAATTTTTTAAGAATAAATGTCCACTATTCTTTGCTCTCTGCCAACCCACTTTTAGTGAGTCACAATTTTTTTTCCTCATTTTCTTGTAATGTGTACTATTTTATTTTTTTAAATGTAATTGGAGGGCAAAAAACTTTCAAACTAGCCACTTTGAGCTTTGTGTTACTGTTTTAGGGCCTCTGTTTTACAGTAAGTCATGCCATAACTCATAAAACTTTATAATGGTTTAAGTTATATCAATATATAGTACTGTGAAAAACTTTAGGAAGAACAAGCTGTCAAGTAAGGTTGCAGCTATTATAAAGTCACCTTATGACACACAATGCTATATATGAATATGCCAGTGACTGCCAAACAGCATTTTCTGAGATGATTTTCAGTTGTTTTAATCTCTGTTTTTTTATTGAAATGAGTATAATGTCGTGGTGACCAAAAGTACAGGCTCCATGTGTGGCCTCGTAGATTGTATTCCTAAATCTTGTCATAGTTCATCAAAAAGACAAAAGTGTTGGGCAGTACCTGTGGCTCAAAAGAGTAGAGTGCCAGCTCTGTATACCAGAGGTGGTGGGTTCAGGCCCAGCCCCAGCCAAAAACTGCAAAAAA